GTGCTGAGGAGTACGTGGACCAGCTCGCTGATGGGCGAGGCGTTCCGCTCGTCCCTGCAGGACTCTGGCGCTTTCTCGTCGTTTGTCCATCAGGCGTCTTATCTTCCAGACGAGGGGGAGGAGGAGGAGGAGGAGGAGGAGGAGGAGGAGGAGGAGGAGGAGAAGGAGGAGTAGGAGGAGGAGGAGGAGGAGGGGGGAACGGCGGACCGAGGAGGAGTAGGAGGAGGAGGAGGAGAAGAAGGAGGAGGAGGATGAGGAGGAGGATTAGTGAGATCGACTGTGAGATCGACAGTGTCATCGGCTGTGATATCGATTAATGAGATCCATGATGAGACCGATCGGTAAGAAGATCAACCAGGAAACTGGCAAACCAAGAATCCCGCCGCTCACCGAAATCGGCCTGGAACCCGGAACCAGGAACCCAGGATCCCAGACCCCGAACCCGGGAACCCGGCCGCCCACCGAAATCGGCGCAGCACTTTCGCCAAATCTTACAATCTCCGCCAGGACCCCCTCAGTGCAAGCGTTGATTGGGGAATGTAGTATATACATAAGACAAATGTAACATATACGTGCACAAGTATATCTATATAGAGAGAGACAACAGCTCTTATATATCATTATGCTCAGGTCTAGCACTGAGATCTCCAAATATGTTGTTTTTGCTCAAAGGATGCGAGTGCGAACTCAGAAATGCAGTGTCAGTTCAGCAGCGACGCCGAAAAACTTCTCCTGCTCTCAAGAACAAATCGTCGTCTTGGTGCCAGTAGGCCCACTGTGCAGCGCGCACGCGCGCATCCATCCTCTTCTGGGATGAGCCCGCGGCGGATCGCCTGCCCACAAACTTCCGAATATGCTGCCAACACCGATCAATTATCTGGGTCCCACCTTTTGTGTACGTGGTGACCCCATCTATGTCGTGGGCGAAGAGCTGCACGTATTTGGGGCGCAGGAACAAAACAAAAGTCCATTTCTTCCTTCTCTCTCCAATCCTCCCCCTCCCTCTTCTACTGATCCTCCTGCTCCTTCTGTTGCCTTTCCTGGGCCTCGGAGGACGTTGAACTCACGATATGTGTTTGGTGTCTCCCTAAGGTCCCCCTGGTGTTTCCGTTTTTTGTTTTCCTTACGCCATGGAAGATCTCCAATAAGCATCCCGAGGGACAAAGGGGAAAAGAAGAGGCAAAGAGGACAACAGGAGACAAAGGGGACAAAGGAGACAAAGGGGACAAACAGGAACAAAGGGACAAAAAGGCACACAACAACAATACAATGGGACAAAAGGACACAAAGGGGACAAAAGGGGACAAAAGGGGACACAAGGGACAGGAGAAACAAAAGGGGACAAAAGGGGACACAAGAGAACAAGAGGGGACAAAAGGGGAGAAAAGGGGACAAGAGGGACAAAAGGGGACAAAGGGGACACAAGGAAACAAAAGAGGAGAAAGGGGATAAAAGGGGACAAAAGGAAACAACAGAGACAAAAGGGACAAAAAGGGACAAAAAGGGACAAAGCGGACAAAAGGAGACAAAGGGGGCAAGGACACAAAGGGGACAAAGGGGGCAAAAAGGAACGAAGGGGACAAAGGGGGGCAAAAGGGGACAAAAGAAAACAAAAGGGACAGGAGGAACAACAGGGGACAACGGGGACACAAGGGAACAAAAGGGGACAAAAGGGGACAAAAGGGGACAAGAGGGACAAAAGGGGACAAAGGGGACACAAGGGGACAAAAAGGGGACAAAGGGGATAAAGGGGGACAAAACGAAACAACAGGGACAAAAGGGACAAAAAGGGACAAAGCGGACAAAAGGGGACAAAGGGGGCAAAGAGGACAAAGGGGACAAAAAGGAACAAAGGGGACAAAAGGGAACAAAAGGGGGACAAAAGGAAACAAAAAGGGCAAGAGGGATACAATATGAGACAGGTGCGAAAGAAAACAAAATCACACGAAAGGCACCCCTAAGGCACCCGCCAAGCACTGGAAAGGCACTGGAAAGGCACCCGCAAATCGCCCGCACAAGATTTCTGGAACAAGCTATCGCCTCGAAAAGTATTGCATGTGCTATTGAACTGCTCGACTACGAAACCAGCGCTTTGCTCCAAGCGACCCAAGATTTCATTGTCAAGGCGCCCGGAAAGCACCCGAAAGGCACCCCAAAGACACCCCCAAATCGGCACTCCAATTTTTTATGAAACGCATACCCTCGAAAAGTGCTAAACGCAGCATTGAAACTTACATATCCGACAACGTGTTTTGCGCCAGGCGCCACAAAATGTTATGTTTGTGTGCTCCACCCCCCGCAGAAATTGTCAAAACAATGCACATAATTTCCTCCTTTTCACATCCTCAAGAAGCCCTCGTGGGCAGCGGTAAGCGCAAGCAATCCCCCCTTTTTCAAAACCTTGGGCAAGCTCCTCTTGGCTCCCTTTGCAAGGCGCCCGAAAGGCACCCCAAAGGCACTCGCAAATCGCCCACGCAAAAATCCTGGAACAACATATCTCCTCGAAGAATACGACATGTGCTATTGAAATGTGCAACTAAGAAATCAACGCTTTGGTCAAAACGAGCCAATGATTGCATGGTCAAGGCTCCCGCAAAGCACCCGCAAGGCACCCGCTATGCACCCCAAAGGCAGCCGCAAATTGCCCACACCAAATTTCAAGAAACAGCAAATCTTCCAAAAGTGTTGCATTTGCAATTGACATCTGAAATTGAGAAAACAGCGCTTTGCTCCAAACGACCCAAGATTTCATTGTCAAGGCACCCGGAAAGCACCCGAAAGGCACCCCAAAGACACCCCCAAATCGGCACTCCAATTTTTTTAGGAAACACATACCCTCGAAAAGTGCTAAACGTAGCGTTGAAACTTACATATACGACAACGATGTTTTGCGCCAGGCGCCCCAAAATGTCATGCTTGTGTGCTCCGCCCCCCGCAGAAATTGCCAAAAAAATACACATAATTTCCCCCTTTTCATATCCTCAGGAAGCCCTCGTGGGCAGCGGTAAGCGCTAGCAATCCCCCCTTTTTCAAAACCTTCAGCAAGCTCCTCTTGGCTATCTTTTGGCTCCCTCTTGGCTCCCTCTCATATTCCTATTGGCTTCCTTTTGGCTCTGTATCGATGGATTTCTTGTGTACCCATTTTCAAATGGATTCCTATTGATGCGGATTACAATTGCATTCCTGTTGTGGGGGATTACAATTAGATTCCTGTTGTAACGAATTAAACATTGATTCCTTCTGTGGCGGATTCCAAATGGATTCCTTTTGTGGCGGAATACAAAGGAATTCCTTTTGTGGCGGATTACAAATGAATTCCTTTTGTGGCGAATTACAAATGGATTCCTTTTGTGGCAAGCTCAGCTTGTCAAAACCTTGGTTTTCCTTAGGTTTTGCAGCTTTTTCGCATGGTTTTCTTAGGATGTCATTGGTTTTCTTTGTTTTTTTCGTTTTTTTTTTTTTGCATTTTCGCCTGCCCGCCCCTGGCGGCGCGAGGGCCGGCGCAGCGCCACGGCGCGAACAAACGAAAATACAAAAAAGGCAAAAAAAAATGCGAAAAAAACAAAGAAAACCAATGACATCCTAAGAAAACCAAGCGAAAAAGCTCCAAAACCTAAGGGAAACCAAAGTTTTGGACGCCTGATAGCCACCAAACCTATGAAAACACATTGTTTTGGCTCATCGACGTTACGAAACACTGTGTTTTCACAGGTGTCGTGGTCACCAGCTGTCAAAACCTTGGTGTTCCTTAGGTTTTGCAGCTTTTTCGCATGGTTTTCTTAGGATGTCATTGGTTTTCTTTTTTTTTTTCAGCCTGTTTTTGCTTTTTTTGTATTTTCGCCTGCCCGCCCGTGGCGTTTGTGGCGGCCTTACAAAAGAATTCCCTGTGTGGCGGCCTTACAAAAAGGATTTCTTGCGTGGGAGCTTTATGTAAGAAATCCGCTAGAGAACACAACAACAAAAACATCACGTTGGAGATCTCAGTGCAAGACCTCACCATCATTATATATACATACAGAGGGAGGGAGACAGAAATAAACAGAATGAGGTTGCCAGACAGAGAAAGAGAGAGAGAGAGAGAGAGAGAGAGTGGAGAGAGAGAGAGAGAGAGCGAGAGTGCTGTCTGAATCTGTCCGCAGAGATATCAATCCATGCGCACTAAACATACGTAGATGTGCACGTATGGTCTTGACATGTATACACATACATATACATATACATATACATATATAGGTATGTGTGTCTGCGTGAATGTATGTTTGTATGTCTGTACGTCTGTATGTCCGTATGTTTGTATATATGTTATATGTGTGCATATGATTGTATTAGTAATGAGGGAACGAAGTACAGAGAGAGAGAGAGAGAGAGAGAAAAGAATAGGTATATATACTTACAGGATTACGCATGTACGCTACGAGTATGTGCGTATGTAGAGAGAGAGAGAGAGAGAGAGAGAGAGAGAGAGAGAGAAAGAGAGAGAGAGGGAGAGAAGTATAGCCGTACACATATGGTGTCCGGTTTTTTGTTATATATATATATAGACATATAAACGTCTTCTCTCAGAAAGGTACAAACATAGGGAGAACTCGAAACACAAAGGTAAGGCTGCAGTAGTAGTAGTAGTAGTAGTAGTAGTAGTAGTAGTAGTAGTAGTAGTCGTAGTCGTAAGTCGTAGTAGTAGTAGTAGTAGTAGTAGTAGTAGTAGTAGTAGTAGTAGCAGTAGTAAGTAGTAGTAGTAGTAGTCTAGCAGTAGTAGTCGTAGTAGTCGTCGTTGTAGTAGTAGCAGCAGCAGTAGTAGTAGTAGTAGTAGTAGTAGTAGTAGTAGTAGTAGTAGTAGTAATCGGCGTGTAGTTGTAGTAGTATTATCCGTGGTGCTTGCAGTGGGTGGTGTGGTGTGGGGGTGGTGGTGGTGGTGAGTGGTGATAGTAGTAGGAGTAGTAGTAGTAGTAGTAAGTAGTAGTAGTAGTAGTAGTAGTCGTAGTAGTAGTAGTAGTAGTAGTAGTCGTAGTAGTAGTAGCGTAGTAGTAGTGTAGTATAGTAGTAGTAGTAGGAGTAGTAGTAGTAGTAGTAGTAGTAGTAGTAGTAGTAGTAGTAGTAGTAGTAGTAGTAGTAGTAGTAGTAGTAGTAGTAGTAGTAGTTAGTAGTAGTAGTAGTAGTAGTAGTAGTAGTAGTAGTAGTAGTAGTAGTAGTAGTAGTAGTAGTAGTAGTAGTAGTAGTAGTAGTAGTTGGAGTAGTAGTCATTCTTTAATAGGGGTAGCCGTAGTCGTGGAATTCGTAGTAGTTGGAGTAGTAGTAGTCGTCATCGTCGTCGTCGTACCAGTAATAGTAGTAGAAGTAGTAGTAGTAGTAGTAGTAGTAGTAGTAGTAGTAGTAGTAGTAGTAGTAGTAGTAGTAGTAGTAGTAGTCGTAGTAGTAGTAATAGTAGTAGTAGTAGTAGTAGTAGTAGTAGTAGTAGTAGTAGTCGTAGTCGTAGTCGTAGTCGTAGTCGTAGTCGTAGTCGTAGTTGTCGTCGCTGTCGTCGTCGTAGTAGTAGTTGTAGCAGCAGTCGTCGTCGTCGTCGTCGTAGTAGCCGTAGCCTTACTCGTAGTAGTAGGAGTTATCGTGGTAGTAGCCGGAGTCAAAGGAGTAGTCGTCGTCGTCGTCGTCGTCGTCGTCGTCGTCGTCGTCGTCGTCGTCGTCGTCATTGTATTTTGGAGATCGTGATAACGGTAGTGGTAGTGGTAGTGACAGTGGTCGGGGTAGTGGTATCAGTCGTAGTAGTTTTTTTTATCGTAGAAGAGAAACGTGGCTTTGGGTGAGCAGAAGGAGGGCCACGATGGGTACGAGGAGGACGGCGGGGAGAACGTGCTTGGGGCGAGGTGGAAGAGGATGAGGAGCAGCAGAAAGAGGCAGAGACACTGTCGGATGATATCGCAGTCTTGACGTCGCCCAGTCAGAAACGATGCCCATGCGAGTTGTCTTAACCAGGGATGTGTAGGAGACGAGCCAACAGTGGAACAATGGGGGCGCGGGGCAGCCGCCCAGCCGATGTTCGGGATCAGCCTGGGCAGGCCCAGGAGTCGACCATAGATGACTTCGCGGATCCTTCCATCTAGACGCCTCTTGGCCGCTCACCTGGGCCATCAGAAGGGGTCATTCTGGAGGTCTGTGGTGTTTTAGTTAGCTTCTCTAGGCGCCTCCTTGGGGGCCGTGGGGGCCCTCTGGGGGCCATGTTGGAGGGAGGCAATCGAATTAAACACAGGGTTGGGCATACGTCAATCCCTCCGATGGAAGCCTACAAATTTGCCAATGGGAGCCCTCTTGTGTCCCTCTTGGGGCTCTCTTGGGCATCTTGTAGCCATCTTGAGGCCTCGCGCGCCTGTCGGAAACGAAACAACGAGAAGGGTAACGCGTTCATCTCCCGCTGGTTCTCACCGTATTTTGGCCTCTCGAGAGCGTCCTTGGGAGCGGCCGTAGCCGCTTGGAGCCTTCTTGGGGCGGTCCTGGGTCCTCATGGAGGCATGTTGGAAGCGATCTTGAACCATCTTGGTCTACCTTGTCTCATTTTGGAAACCATCTTGGGCTATCAGATGCCATCTTGGATCGGCTATCTTGGGCGCTCCAACCCCTGGCGGGGAAAGGGTTCCAGACCCATGGGAAGGGGGTGAGGGAAGAGGGTCGCTCCCTCGCTGAAAAGGGTCCCCCCCCTCCTTGAAAAGGGAAAATTATGTGGTTGGACGATCTCCTGAAACTGCCTGAGCTCAGAGGGCTGGTAGCACGAGCAGGCTCCAACGAGTCAGTGGGCCCCGGCTACTCCTCCCCCCGCTTGTGATGCATTGGATGGAGAGGATCGGCTCTGCGCCGATGCGGGCTCCGGAGGCTCGCTCAGCCATGCGAGCCCCGCAGACGTCCTCCCCGTGCCGGCCGGTGCAAGAGCCAGCAGCACACAGCTCGTGGTTCAGCGAGCTTCGGGCCCTGGGTCGATGACCCACCCGGACTGCCAAGGCTTCCGAGTCCGAGTCCGGATGAGGAGCAGCGCCGTCGCAGCTGAATCTTGGGACGGACGGGCTCTCCCGCCCGGAAGTCGAGATGCGCTCCCGCGCGAGCGGCCCCGCTTCTCCGACGGTGTGGCCCGCGATCGAGCGGGAGCGCCACTCCGCCCCCTCGGGCTCGACCCCGCTTCCGACGACTGCGAGCGAGCAGCGCAGCTCTTGGGCGAGATCTGCGCGTCGCTGAGGCGAGAGCGGCAGCGCGACGTCTCGCGGGGGATGTGCGCCGTGCGTCATTCTCTCTGCGCGTTTTGCAAGGTCGGCGACAACATATCCACGTCGAAAGGGACAACCCCGACTTTGCATTGTTTCAGATCGGTATGGGGGCCTCCTCGCTTTAGGGTGCTATCGGCCAGCCACTTGGCAGTCCAGGAGTATATACTAGCACGGACTCGCGATGGGGTGCGAGGATGAGAAGGAGGAGGAGGAGGAGAAGGAGGAGGAGGAGGAGGGGGAGGAGGAGGAGCTGGAAGAGAAAAGTGAGGAGGGGAAGCGATACATTTTGGGGCGGGACGGTCGTTTTCCGAGCACAGTTATATGACGACCACCACCAAGATCGAGAATAATCTACGATGCGATTTGGTGCAGTTTTGCTCTGGTGAAACGCCCGCAGTCCCCCTCCCGCCGCCAACGGCAAAAGGGCTGCCCCCTCTCCCTTGAGGACCGAAACAGAATTTATCAAAGCACGCGCGGTGGTGGTGTATAACATTTTGGTTACCAAGAGGATCGATTTTTATACACCACCACCAAGAAGTGCTGTTTCTGTTTCAGGAACTCCCCATGCCACGGCGCCTGCGAGCTGCGCCGCGCTCCTTTTCGCCGTGGCGTCGCAGCGTCGTCTGGCATGGCCCTGCCCCTAACCCTTTTTGCGGTAAATTGCTGTTGCGGGCGGTGGTGGTGCATAAAGATTGGCCTCGCACGTTTCGAACTGCACTCTGCAGCGCGGCTTGGATGCAGCCCACACCGCGCCGGTCTGCACGCAGCTCCGACTGGCTGCGATTTCTCACCCCGCTCCTTGTTCCCCCTCCTCGCTACTCACTCTTCACACCTCATTTTCGCTCATCCTCCTGACGCTGATCTGTCCCCGTCCTCGTGCCCCTCCTGCTCCTCCTCCCACTGCTGCTGCTGCTTCTCCCCTGTCCCCCCTCCCTCGCTTCCACGCTCCTTCGCTCCCACGCTCCGTTTTTGCTCCTCTCTCTTTCTGTGGCTCCCTCGCCTTTCTTGGCTCCCTCGCTCCCTCCTTGGTTTCTTTATCGGTTCTCCTGCCTTCTGGCTCCGTGCTCCGAGGTGGCAACTTAGAGCAGTTGTTGCTTGTTTATTTTAGTTTCGTAGCTCGTGGAAGAGGCTATGGGTCCCAGGGTTTGCTCCTTGCTTTCCGGCTGCTCTCTCGCCTCCGCTTCCTCCTCCTCGTTCTCTTCCTCCCCTTTTTGACCTCCTGTCTATTTGCGTTGATTGCTGTGCTCTCCTGCCTGCCATCTCGGTAGTACACTGGAGAAAACACTCGCACGCTCACAGTGGGTACTCGCTGCGAGTGGGCTGGACGGACGTCTGCAGTTCGAGTGGCTGATGGGAGACAAGTTCATGCAGTACGAGGATTCGCACCGCCGCAACAAAGCAAGTTCGGTAATGCGTGCACATTACTCGGTCCACACCGTGTGTGGCTCGTGCTGTTTTGATTGCAGACTTCCTCAGGGCAGGCGCTGCGAGTGAACAGTGTGTGTGTGTGTGTGTTTGTGCCCGCCTTCCTGTGCCCTGTCTCCCTAATTAAAGCTGTGCGTAGCCCTCCTAGCTTTTAGCGGAAGAGGTTCGCTCTTGCCCCGCAGACCAAAAAGTGTGTGTGTTTGTGTGAGCGAGAGAGAGAGAGAGAGAGAGAGAAAGAGGGAGAGAGAGAGAGGGAGAGAGAGAGAGAGAGAGCGATGAACAATACATAAAGCGAGAGAGGGAGAGAGTGAGAGAACCAGAGAGGATCACGAGCCCGCAGTGCAGCCCACTTCAGTAGATCCGGTGTGGTGGCCCGAGCCCTGCGGCACCTCCCGAACGAGCCTGCGCGCGCTGGTGACCGGCTGCTCCCCCACGCTTCGCCGCTGCTCCCTTGGCATGCCCCGGCGCTCCCGACGACTCCCGATGCGGCCGGTCCGAGGCTCTGCGCGCGCCTGCTCTGCAAGCCCAGCAGGTGGGCCGACGAGATCTTACCAGCCTCGAGCGTATCCCTATCCCTGAGATTGACACGCCAAAAGGCGATGACAATCTTGGGGATCCGCCCTCAAAAAATAAGGGAATCCCTGTGATTGGCATCGTGATGAGGAGGTGCCCAGCATAGGGATAGGGATATGTTCCAGGCTGGTAAAGATCGGCACCCTCGCTCTGCTCCTCTTCCGCGGCCCCCCGTCGCGCTCCTCGCCCGCTTCGGCCTCCCGTCCCGGTGCCCCTCCCCGTGCGCTCCTGGCGTGCCTCTCCTGGTGGGGTTTTCGGGATCCGCTCGTCGACGGGTGGGCGGACGGCTCGGTCTGAGCGGCATGTTTAGAGGGTCTCGTGTGTGCGTGCTGCAGGGGCGCATGATGAGGATAACGACGAGACCAAGGAGGATGATGGTGATGTTGGTGGTGAGGAGCAGGAGGAGGAAGGGGAGGAGGATAGTAGTGATGATTCTGATGACGACGACGATGATGCGGATGTTGATGTTGTTGTTGATGATGAGTATGATGATGCTGATGCTGCTGCTGATGATGATGCTGAAGCTGATGATGATGACGATATGATGATGAGAATGGTGATGGTGATGATGACGATGCGGATGATTCTGATGACGATGATTATTAGTATCATTGTTATGATGATGATGATGATGATGATGATGATGATGATGATGATGATGATGATGACGAGTATGATGAGGATGATGAGGATGGTGCTGATGGTATTGATGATGAGGAGGAGGAGGAGGAAGAGGAGGAGGAGGAGGAGGTGTTGGATTGTAGCGTTCCGACTGGGTGAGTAGGATCTGTTATGGATTTTTAGAGAACGTTATTTAGGAATTCCAGTGGAGCATGTTAGTCGTTGGCCGCAACTGTTTGGCTCAAGCCCAATCTGCCTCCAGGGAAAAAAGCTTACCACATGTTCATGGTAGCGGAACCCGTGCTTCGCCCTACGGGTGTAATTGCGCGTGGCTAACTCCGCGAACCATTTCCCTTCCGACAGTGGCCGCAGCGGCAGCCGCAGCCGCACCAGCGAAGCTTGGCGCAGCCGACCCAGGTTTTGATGTAACGTCGCCCAAAGTCCGACAGGCGTGGTATAACTTGAGCACGATCCGATTCTTGGAACTGTGCAATGCCTGTTGGGAGAACATAGACTCCAGGTATGTTAGCACGGCGTTCAAGGCCATCCATGAAGGCATGAAGTTTTATTTTGAGCACAGTGCTACACAGGGCACATGGACGGTCGGCAACCACTAAGCATTTACACTGCTGAAGATGAACAACATGAGTGTTCCCTCGATCTCACTTAACAGCCGCAACATGTGCTGCGAGGAGCAGTTCATTAATTTGAAAGAACATGTGAGTAGAGAAATCCGTCATCAAGCGAACACCTCGGAGCATGTGACCATTATCGTTGAGACAATACAGTCCGCAGGAAACGCCAGGGCAGGCGGAGGTGGAAGCCAGCCCGTGAGTGAATCCAATGGCGTCCAACAGTTGAAAACAGTCTCAGGTGACAGGGCCAATTTAAGGAATGAAGCGGAAAACTGTTGAATGCACTCGCCCAAGCGAAGCACGGTTATCAGGAAACCTTCAAGAACTTGAACAACAAATTCGAAAACATGGATGGGGCGTTACCCGATGGATACATAGTATGCGCAGAAGGTTGACGTTGACTCGTGCGAAGCTGGGATGGCTGCGTCGATCCTGTTGCGACTAGTCTTGTCCGTTGTTTCCACTGGTTCGGCTCTTGACTCCTCTGACCCGTCTCTGGGTGCTGGCCTCGGAGAAGGTGCTCGCGACCTCCACTCTTTCTTGTCGCACCTGCGCTTCCAGCATCCCCCCTTTCCGACGAGCCTGCGTCTGGGGCAACGTCCGTGCGTGCCGCAACGTGCACGCCTGGGTGACACTTGGCAAGCACGGCCTGCGATGGCCTCGACGAGAGAGGCCGGCGCCTGCGGAGGGCACGTGGCCATTCTGCCTTTCGAGAGCAGGATCGCTTGCCCTCCCTCGTCCCTGCCTCTTCCTTCCTCCTCGTCCCCTCTCTGCCTCTCCGCAGGCCTGCCGCTCGTTGAGCTCCCTGCGAGGCGCGCCCAGCCGGGGCGAGCATAGGGTCCGTGCCCTGCGACGGGATGTTCATGCGTGCCATCAGACGCACTGCTTCCATGCAGACTTGCACGCGCTGGCGTGGTGCTGTTTCCCCTGAAGTCGATGCATGATGAGCAAATCTCTCTTCCAGTTCAGTGTGCACGTGCAGGCACTCGCCGGTGCCGCGGCGCCTCGCCGCCGTGGCGCAGCTCGAGGAGCCGCCCTGCCCGCTGCGAGGGATCAGCTCTCGCCTCGCCTCGGGCGGTGCCGGGCGGCCCCCCCCGCGGGGTGCGGGCGGAGTGCCTCCGCGGCGCGCCGTGCAGCAGCCTGCGCGAGACCGCCGCCCGCTGTCGCGTGCTGCCTGCGGGCGGCTGCGGCCGCCTCCTCCTCCTGCTCCTCTTCTCCTCTCTGCTCCTGCTGTTCCTTCTGCTCCTGCTCCTGCTGTTGCTGCTGCTGCTGCTGCTGCTGCTGCTCCTCCTCCTCCTCCTCCTCCTCCTCATCCTTCTCTTCCTCCTCCTCCTCCTCGTCGTCGTCCTCCTCCTCCCTCCTCCTCCTCCTCCTCCTCCTCCTCCTTCTCCTCCTGCTCCTGTTCCTGCTCCTCCTCCTCCTCCTCCTCCTCCTCCTCCTCCTCCTACTCTTCTCCTCTCTGCTCCTGCTGCTCCTGATGCTCCTGCTGCTGCTGCTGCTGTTGCTGCTGCTGCTGCTGCTCCTCCTCCTCCTCCTGCCTGCCTGCCGCAAGCGCTCCGCAACGCGGGTCGCGTCTATGCGCGAGCGCGCCCGCGTGGCGCGCCCGCGGTCGCGCGCGCCACGCGCGCGCCCAAGAGGGGCCCGCCTCCCATCTCCTACCATCGTTCCTGCTTATCCTGCTCCTGAAGGTGGGGGGAGAAGGGCGGCCGCGGCCCCGCGGGCCCGTCGGATCACCCGCACCGTGTTGGCGTCGGTGCTGGTGTAGGCGCTGGCGGTTTCAGCGGTGAGCGGGTCCCGCTCGAGCGGCTCCCCGAGCGCGATGCGCCAAGGGAGCAGGCATGGGCTCACCCACGCCTTCACATCACAACAAAAATAGGGCACACTTCGAATGGCTTCAGAGTCCCAAGACGAGACTCCGGCAGGCTCTGGGAACCTCGGCCAGGCCAGGCAGGATCAGATCGCTCGAAAAGGCCACAAGAAGGCGGCGGAGCGGTGGTCTCTGCAACAAAAGCACCCAAGAAATCCCACCACGTGGTCCTCAGATCCCGAACAAGACCTCCGGTGGGCTCCAGGGTGTCCCGCCAGGCCAGGCTCGCGAAAGTCCTGGGCTCGAGAGGGTGATCGAGCGGGTCGGTGATAGTTCAGCTTTCAGCTTAAGACAATATATCAATGGCTCGTTCTTGTAATCGAGGTGGTATATCAAGAAAGGGAGTGGCTCGTCCATGTAGTCGATGTCGCTGGAGTTCGCCGCGGTTCCAGCAACTATGTAGTGTGAGGTCCACTCGCTGTCGTGCATCAAGATAGGTGGTGAAAAGGACGAGTATGGCCCCCAGATCAACACACTCAGTCCATCTGCACGTCAAAATCCTCAACCGAAGTACTGCCGACGAAGGGGGGCGCCATCTCGAAGGGGTGCTCCTCCTCCTCCTCCTCCTCCTCCTCCTCCTCTTGCTCCTCCTCCTCCTCCTCCTCCTGCTATTTCTCTTCCTCCTCTTCTCCCTCCTGCTCCTGCTCCTGCTCCTGCTCCTCCTCCTCCTCCTCCTCCTCCTACTCTTCTCCTCTCTGCTCCTGCTGCTCCTGCTGCTGCTGCTCCTCCTCTTCTTCCTCCTCCTCCTCCTCTTCCTCCTCCCCCTCATCCTCCTCCTTCTCTTCTCCTCCTCCCTCCTCCTCCTCCTGCGCCTCCTCCTCCTCCTCTCCTTCTCCTGCTCCTGCTGCTGCTCCTCCTCCTCTCCTCTTCTTCTTCTTCTTCCTCCTCCTCCTCCTCCTCCTACTCTTCCTCCTTCTCCTCCTCCTACTCTTCTCCTCGCAGCTCCCTGCTGCTCCTGCTGCGCTGCCTGCTGCTGGCTGCTGCTGCTGCTGCCGCTCTGCTGCTGTGCCGCTGCTGCTGCTCCCTCCTCCTCCTCCTCCTCCTCCTCCTCCTCCTCCTCCTCCCCCTCCTCCTCCCTCCTCCTCCTCCTCCTCCTCCTCCTCCTCCTCCTCCTCCTCCCTCCTCCTCTCCTCCTCCTCCTCCTCCTCCTCCTCCTCCTCCTCCCTCCTCCCCTCCTCCCTCCTCCTCCTCCTCCTCCTCCTCCTCCTCCTCCTCCTCCTCCTCCCCCTCTCCCCTCCTCCTCCTCCTCCTCCTCCTCCTCCTCCTCCTATTCTGCTCCCCCTCTCCTCTTCCTCCTCCTCTCTGCTCCTGATCCTCCTTCTCCTCCTGCTCGCTTTCCCCTCCGCTCCTGCTCCTGCTCGTGCTGATCGTGTTTCTCCTGCTCCCTGCTCCAGTTTCTCTGTCCCTCCCCTGCCTGGTCAGCATGCCAGCCGTGGAGGTTTGCGAGATAGGATGGGTGTTATCGTGGGACCCTTCGGGCCCTGGGTGGAGTGGGGGCGGCGAGGCTCGGCTGTATCCTCCCCCCCTTCTTCTTGCCCTCCTCCTTACTTCTCCTCGCTCTGCCCCTCTCGCCTGTCGCTCGTTCTCGCTACTCAATTTAGTCCTTGTGCATAGCTCTTCTCTCGCACCCCCCTCCTCACACGTGTCGCCAGAGCGGGCTTGGCGTTTCGCCTAAGATTTAACAGTCATTCTGGTCTTGCAGCTAAGAGATTTGCAAGCGTTTCAACGACGGACACGGGTCGATTCCCAAATGGGCTTCTCGCTTGAGCGCCGTGCACACTTGACTTAAACGTTGCAACCGTTTTAGGGATGAAAGTGGGCCGTTTTCAAAATGTGGCTTTCGCCTTTAGCTCCGTGCGCATCCATTGTAATATTGTATTTGCAGCTTCATGGACGTAGGGGCGGCTCGTTTTCAACATGAGGCTCTCGCTTTAGCGCCGCGCGCAGGTGGTGTAACCTGTCTCAGCAGTTTTAGTGGAGGGGGTGCGGTCGTTTTCAAATACAGATTATTGTTGTGGCGCCGTGCACATTCGTCTTCAAGGTTTGCAGCAGCTTCGAGAATGGAGGGTGGTTCGTTTTCAAAATGGGTCTCGCTTCAGCGCAGCGCACATTCGTCTGACCAGTTTGCCCACAGTGTGAAGCATGGGTGGGGGCTGGTCTTTAAAATGGGGCTCTTGTTTTTAACGCCGCGTACATTCGTTTTAACAGTTCGAATCAGGTTCTAGGATGGTGAGGGGGGTCGATTTCAAAATGGGACTCGCCTAGCGCCTCGCGCATTCGTTTTTAAAGCTCGGAGCGGTCACGTGGATGGAGGACGGTGCCTCGTCGAAACGGGGACTCCGCCGCTGGAGACTTCGTCCAGGTGCGTGACCAGAAGTGTAATCTTGTGCAACGGTTGTACCCGTATGGGTGTGAGGGATGAGTTGTCTTCCAAAACGGGGAGCTCGCCCGACACCTCGTTGAACTGTTCGATCACGCCCTCTCGCATTCCATAGGATTCGCCCGAAGATGCAGGGCAGTTCCTTTACAAGACGAGGTCCTCGCTGGAATGGCAGGCCCACGGGGTGCTGGTCTTCCAAGGGGGGGTTCTTCTTGTAATGGAAAAGGGAAGTCCGTAGGGCCTTACGCTGACGGTACTTGGGACGGGAGGGTGTGTCGCAGCAGCGTTGATGATTATGTTAGCCAGCGCGGGCCGCAAACAGTAAGCTGTTACACTGTGGACATGTAAGCCATGTCTTGCAAGCTACAAGGTGTGAGCTATGTGGTGCAGTATCCGTGGTGCAAGCGAGAGGCGGCCACGAGGCGGCCACGGTCGGCAACCTGGTGATGCCTTGCCGAAGCCACCCATCGCACCAGGTGGCCACGAGGCGGCCACGGGCGGCAAGAACTCGCCCAGCGCGCGAGGCGGCCCCGAGGCGGCCACGAGCGGCAACGTGGCGAGACCTCGCCAGACCCACCCGATTCTTTCGTAAGACAAGTGAGCAGCAAGTGCAAGCACACTTTTGGGAATTAGGTTTACTACTCTTGTCCTCCTCCTCCTCCTCCTCTTCCTCCTCTCACCCTCTTCCTACATCCTTCATCTCCCTGCCATCTCCTGGCGATGGCCATTGGACGGCTGCTCCCAAGGACATGGCCAAGTTGCACGCCGCTGTCTTCTTTCCGGAGCAGCCCGACAAGCTCACGTTCTGGGAGTGCCGGCCCGGGCGGGTTGGTCGATGGGGGCCTTCGCGCGGGGGTATCTTCGGGCCTCGCGGAGGTGGAAGGAGTCGTCATTGTCATCATCCTCCTCCTCCTTCTCCTCATCATCATCATCATCTTTTTTCTTATCCTCATCCTCATCGTCATCCCTCTCAGAATCATCATGTTCATAATCATCAACAGCATCAGCATCGTCATTATCAGCATCGTCACCACCACCATCATCATCACCGTCACTTTGTTTTCATCATCGTAATCACTAACATGCAACATCATCATCACAGTTATCATCACCAACATCATCACCATCACCATCACCGTCACCATCACCATCACTGACCATCATCAGCACCATCATGATTATCATCACCATCATCGTCATCATCATCCTCACCATCTTCACCACCACCATCATCACCGCCACCACCATCATCATATATCACCAGCATCATCATCGTCATCGTCATCATAATCAGCCGCACCATCATCATCATCATCATCATCATCATCACCATAATCATTACCAGCATTATCATCGTCATCACCATCATTATCACCATTACAGTCTGCCGAACCATCATTGCCATAACTAAAATCATCACCAGCATCATCTTCGTCATCATCATCGCCACCATCATCATCAGCATCAACAGAAGCACTATCAACGTCAGCTTTGACGTCAACATTGATAAATCATCATCACCACCATCATCATCGTTATGACCATCATCCTAGACACCATCATCACAATCATCACCATCATCATCATCATCACCACGATCATCATCAATATCATCGTTATTACCATCACGGTCACCAAACCGTCACCATCAACGCCATCACCATCGTCATACTCGTGATTATCACTATTATCATCGTACTCTTCATTATCATTAGCATTAGTATTATCATTACCAGTCTCATTATCAGTATCATTAGCATATTCATTTTCTTTATGTTATCATCATCAGTATCATTACCATTAGCATTCTCATTCTCATCATCATCGTCGTCGTCGTTGTCATCGTCGTCATCATCGTCATCATCATCACCATCATCATCACCACCATCATCATCATCAGCATCCAACGGCACGCACTACCAGCCCCCGTGATGAACATGATTGGGCGTGTGATTATTTTTTTCAATTCTACGTGCTCTCCCAAGGCCTCTTGGTGTACCCCCGTGGACGGTGGTACTGGATGAGGAGGTGGAATACACACTCCCTCCAATCTCCCTCTTCATAGGCCCCTACAACAGTTCATTTCCATTGAGGGGTCTGCCTCGTTGGAAGACAACCGTTTGAAGACCCTGAAGCATGCCAAAACATTGTTCTCGGGACTACAACGCCACGGATCAAGCTGACTGCTGCGTCTCGACGATCTTGGATCGTGCCAGAACGCCATTCTCGGGATTTCAACACCGCGAATCAATGTTACTGTTGCACCCGCAAAATCCTGATTCCTCTGAAACGCCATTTCTGGTACGTTGATCGTGGGAATCCGTGAAACTCCTGCAAATTTTATGAACGAATGTGCGCGGCGCTGAGGCGGGAGCCACATTTTGAAAAGGAACCGCCCTCAATCCGTGAAACTCTTGCAAATTTTTTAGAATGAATGAGGAGGAGCAGGAGGAGGAGGAGGAGGAGGAGGAGGAGGAGATGGGAGGAGGAAGGAGGGAGGGAGGAGGAGGAGGAGGAGGAGGAGGATGAGGAGGAGGAGGGGGAGAAGGAGGAAGAGGAGGGGGTGGAGGAGGAGGAGTAGGAGTAGGAATAGGAGCACGAGGAGGAAGAGGAGGAGGAGGAGGAGGAGGAGGAAAAGGAGGAGGCGGAGGAGGAGGAGGAGGAGGAGAAGGAGCAGGAATAAAAGGAGGGAAAAGAGGAGGAGGAGGACGAGGAGGAGCAGCGCAGACACAACCTGCCAGCGTCTCTGGCCGTCCGGCCCGGCGCCCTTGCAGGAACAATACGAGATGGCGATGCCGCTGTGGCTTCCCAGCGCGGACCTCTGGGCGCCCAGCCCACGGCTGCCCTCATTCTTGGTCGTCCTCCTCCTCGTCCTCCTCGTCGTCCTTTTCCTCCTCCTCCTCCTCCTCCTCGTTCTCCTCTCCCTCTCCCCCCCGCTCCTACCCTCTCCTCCTCTTCCTCCTCTGCCTCCATTTTTTTTTTTTTTTTTCCGTTTGAGTAGTTCCTCCCTGTCGCACCCCGAGGCGTGTCGGTAGGGCAGGCCGGGCATTTCGTGTGAGACTCCGTCGCCATCTATGGTCCTCAAGCTGAGACTTTGCAGCAGTTTCACGGATGCATGGGGGGCCGTTTTCAAAATGAGACTCTCGCTGTAGCGCCGCGCACATTCGTTTTTTCAAGTTCGCAAGGGTTTCACGGATGGGGGGCGGGCCGTTTTCAAAAAATGGTTCTCGCTTTAGCGCCGTGCATAGCCGTTCCTGAATAGTGCAAAAATTACACGGATGTAGGGCGCGCCGTTTTCAAAATTAGACTTCCACCTTAGCGCCGAGCACAGTCGTCTTTAGCTTGCAAAAGCTTCCCTGATGGAGGACGGACCGCCTATATTTTGAAAAGGAGCCGCCCTCCATTGTGAAACTGTTGGAATCTTCGAAGGCGAATGTGCGTGGCGCTGAGGCGAGAGCAACGTTTTGAACATGGCCCGCTCTTCATGTGTGAACCCGTGGTTGCAGATTTTTCAAACGAGTATGCGTGGCGCTGAGGCGAGAGCCACATTTTGAAAACGGCCCGCCCTCCGTCTGTGAAGCTGATGCGAACTTTTAGCACGAAGGTGCGCGGCGCTGAGGCGGGAGCTACATTTTGAAAACCACTTGTCTTCGATCTGGGAAGTTGTTTCAGACTTCAAGCTTCAGGATCATACATGGTGCAGGAATTCGAGGCGAAACGCCCGGCTTGCCTTACCGACACGTCTGGGGTGCGACAGGGAGGAGTTATTTAGAAGGAGCAGGGATCGAGGAGGAGCAGGATGAGAAGGAGGATGACGATGAGGATGAGGATGAGGATGGGGATGAGGATGAGGATGAAGATGATGATGAGGAGGAGGAGGAGGACCAGTGTAAACCCAAGAGTCACCAACGATATTGGAATTAACCCTCCCTCCACGCTTCCTCTTCATAGGCCCCTCAGCGGTTCATTTCCATTGAGGGAACTGCTTCGTTGGAAAACAACCGTTTGAAGATCCTGAAGCATGCCAAAACATTGTTCTCGGGATTGCAACGCCACGGATCAACCAACCTGAATGCTGCGTCTCGACGATCTGAAATCGTGCCAGACGCCGTTTTTGGGACTTCGACACCGCGAACCAACATAATTGTTGCAACCGCATAATCCTGAATCCTTCCAAAGCGCAATTCCTGGTACGTTGATCATTGAAATCCGTGAATAACTTGCCAATTTAAGAACCGAATGTGCGCGGCGCTAAGGCGAGAGCCACATGTTGAAAAGAAATTGCCCTCAATCCGCGAAGCGCTTGCGAATTTTTAGAATGAATGTGCGCAGCGCTAAGGCGAGAGCCACATTCTGAAAAGGGGCCGCCCTCATTCCGTGAAGCTGTTGCAAGCTTTTAAAAACGAATGTGCGTTGCGCTAAGGCGAGAGCCGCATTTTGAAAACGACCCGCCTTCAATCCGTGAAACTCTTGCAAATTTCTAAAACGAATGGGCGCGACGCTGAGGCGAGAGCCACATTTTGAAAAGGAGCCGCCCTTAATCCGTGAAAATCTTGCAATTTTTAGAACGAATGTGCGTGGCGCTAAAGCGAGAGCCGCATTTTGACAACGACCCTCCTTCAATCCGTGAAGCCGTTGCAATTTTTTGAAACGAATGTGCGCGGCGCGAAGGCGAACGCCACATGTTGAAAACGACCCGCCCTCAATCCGTTAAGCTCTTGCAGATTTTTAACTGCGAATGGGCGCGGCGCTAAGGCGAGAGCCACATTTTGAAAGCCACCCGCCCTCCACCTGCGAAGCTGCTGTCATTTTTAAGCTTCAGAGTCATCAGTGGTGAGGAAGTCTCAGGCGCAACGCCTGGCCCGCCCCTTAAAAGTTGCTTCGGGGTGTGACAGGGAAATGGTTATCTATAAGGGTCAAGGCTGGAGGAGGTTGAGGAGGAAGAACACTTAGCCAGGCGAATGACCCAACCATATGCAATTATGAGTACACCAACTGTGAATCTCATCTTCGGTGGCTCTCCCTATGGGGCCACGAGCCCTGTGAGGGATGTGCCGAAACATGTGCGGCGGACGCATGCGGACGGTGGCACTGGGGCCTTCGGTGGAGCTCCCTATGGGGCCACGAAGCGTGTGATGGGTGTGCAGACATGGGTGTGTGGGGGACGCATGTGGACGGTGGCATTGGGGCCTTCGGTGGAGCTCCCTATGGGGCCACGAAGCGTGTGAGGGATGTGCCGACATGGGTGTGGTGGACGCATGTGGACGGTGGGACTGGGACCTTTGGAGGAGCTTCCTATGGGGCCTCGAAACGTGTGAGGGGTGTGCCGAAATGGGGGCGGGGGGCGCATATGGACGGTGGTACTGGGGCCCTCGGTGGAAGTCCCTATGGGGCCACAAAACGTGTGAGGGATGTGCCGTCATGGGTGTGGGGGACGCATGCGGACGGTGGCATTGGGGCCTTCGGTTCCCGGGACTTGTGTATGTAAACAAACTACGCGGAGGAGGGCCGAGTATTTGCCAGACGTCATCAGGGGAGAGAAGAGTAGTATTCATAATGTGTAAATGTATTGGGAAGGGGGAGGCGGAGGCGAAGGCGGAGGCGGAGGCGGAGGCGGAGGAGGAGGAGAATGAGGAGGAAGAGGAAGAGGAAGAGGAATCATAAACATCATCGTATCATATTCATATTCATATTCTTATTGATAGTTCTACTCATGTTCATTCTCGTACCCATACTCGTACTCATACGCATACTCATACGCATACGCATACGCATACTCATAATCATATACATACTACTACGGCAGCAACAAGTAGTTCAATTATTCTACTACTAATACCAATAGTACTCGTATTACTATCAATAGTACTAGTAATGCTACGCATTAGATTGTTATCACTAGTGCTAGTAAGTGCTGCTACGTATAATGCTGACCATTGTCGTAATATGTATTTAGCCAACAACGGTGCTAATACCAGTGCGAAGCTATAACATGAATGCTAATTTTAACATTCTCATTTTTGGTAATATCACTATTGCAACTAATTTACTTTCATTTGTAGTAGTAGTAGTAGTAGTAGTAGTAGTAGTAGTAGTAGTAGTAGTAGTGGTAGTTGTAGTAGTACTAATATTAATCGTAGTAGTAGTAGTAGTAGTAGTAGTAGTAGTAGTAGTCGTAGTAGTAGTAGTAGTAGTAATAGTAGTAGTAGTAGTAGTGGTAGTCGTAGTAGTACTAGTCGTAGTAGTAGTCGTAGTAGTAGTAGTAGTAGTAGTAGTAGTAGTAGTAGTAGTAGTAGTAGTAGTAGTAGTAGTAGTAGTAGTAGTGTAGTAGTAGTAGTTTAGTAGTAATAGTCGTAGTCGTAGTCGTAGTCGTAGTCGTAGTCGTAGTCGTAGTCGTAGTCGTAGTCGTAGTCATAGTCGTAGTAGTAGTAGTAGTAGTAGTAGTAGTAGTAGTAGTAGTAGTAGTAGTAGTAGTAGTAGTAGTAGTAGTAGAGTCGTAGTATTCGTAGTAGTAGTAGTAGTTGTAGCAGTAGAAGTAAGACTTCTAGGAACATTACTGGAGTCCTATCAGTAATAGGGATAATGCTAATAAGCGCTAGTGATACGACTATGCTTACAACTCAGAAGAAGACGAGGAGGAGGAGGAGGAGGAGGAGGAGGAGGAGGTAGGATTGGCCATCAGCTTGCTTGCAGCTCGCCAAAAGAGCCTCTCTGCAGAAGTGAAGGTAGTTTAGCCGGGTTCGCGCAGGGCTCGCTTTAGCCCAGCACCTTCCAGGGAACAGGCTTCACCAGTCTTCGGCAGCAGCGGCGGCAGACGTGCCCAGAGGTTGCCTCTTTCCCTTGGCTGTGCCGGGAGCGGGCCCCTCCCACTCGGCAGAGGCTGGCGGAAGGCCTGCAGAAGCTGGCGGAAATGCAAGCCGAGGTCATTTCGCGGGCCGGATGCCGGCGGACGTGGGAGCTGACCTCGGCCACGCGCAGACCCAGACCCCCTCGGGAAAACGAAAACGTCATGACAGGAGGTTTTTCCGTACGCTCGGCCGCTGAAGGCTCTCGGAGGGCCCTCGGGACCGTCAAAAACGATTCAGGATGAAAAGCGGGTCCAGGGGAATGGGTCGAGGCCTCTGACGGTCGGCGTGATGAACGAATCATGGCGTCGGGGGTCTGGGGAGGGGGGTAGGGGCCCCGAGCGTCGGATTCTTGTCCCCTGGCTCCCTGATGACGGAGGAGCGCCCTCAGACCCGAGGCTCGGTGCTCGAGGATTTCCGCCCTCTGGAGACCTTCCCTCCCGTGAGAGGGAGCGGGGAAGGCTTCTCAGAAGCACCCCTGCTTTTTAGAGGGCGCGGGGGCCTTGTCTGTAGGTATGGGGCCGTCGCCTTCTAAGAGAAGCGTCCTCCTTCTGAGAGGCCTTCCCCCCCTCCCCCCCCCCTTTTGCGCGCCGCCAATGACACCCGACCCAGACATCCGGCACTCCAATGTATTCGGTGCGTGGCCCCCGGAGGTTTGGACAATTCCTTTAGGGCCGGTTTTTCATCCTGGGTGATCTTGTGACGGTGCCAGGGCCCCCTGCGGGCCCGCAGGCCGAACATGGCCCAAAAACCGGCCGCCCCGACTTCTTCGGAGCATCGGACCCCATGGGGGCAGGGGTCGATGCTGACGTCCTCGGGGTCGACCCCGAGGACGCAGCCCGACAGCGCCTTGCGCGCCTAAAAACCAAGAAAACAAGACATCGCAAATGTCTCGTGAAAACAAAACATCGTCTAGAAAAAACACAGAGCAAGAACCGCCGTCTTGTAAAAAACAAAACCACGAGATGTCAGGGTCTCGGGGACGACCACGTGGCCCCCGTGGCCCTCTTGCTCGAGCAGCTCAGGCTCGGGCCGTCCAGCGGGCGCGGCGGCACGGCGCTGCAGCTGGCGGTCCACGGGGGTGGCGGGCGGGGGGGGCGGGGGCGGGCTCCGTCATCGCGCGCGCGCGCGCCCTCGGTGCGGCGGGGCCACCGTGCCGCCTGCAGAGCCGGGGGACCTCGGGGCGGCTGCCGGATGGAGGCACCCGCCTCGCACCTGGGCGGCCACGGGGCCCTCGCGGCCCTCCTGGAGGCGCAGGGCCTGCGGGAGGACTGGTTCCGGCGCCCCCACGAGATCCCCGCCGTCCTGGAACGGCTGGAGCGGCTGGGCACCCTGACGTCGAAGGGGCTGCTGGACGAGTACGCGCAGAGGGGCCTGCCGGCCTTCGAGGGCATGTCTCGGTCCGAGCTCCTGCCGCTGGCGAGGAGCGCCGTGCTCTGGGAGGAGTTCAACACGGCTGGGCTGCAGCAGGCGTGCTGGCAGCGCTCCGTCGAGGCCGCGGGGGAGCCCCGGCAGGCGCTCGAGGAGCTGCTGAGGGCCCTCGCCTGGGAGGACCTGGGCGTCCCGGTGACCCGGCTCCCCTGCGTGGAGGCCGCCAAGGACGTGCTGTCGGAGCTTCAGGCCCTCCTGGACGCGAGCTCCGAGGAGCTTGCGTCGCGCTGCGCCGCGCAGGGGCTGCCCTGCGCCGGCTCCCCGGAGGCGGCGAGAGGGCTCCTGAGGCAGGCGCTGCTCTGGAGCGAGCTGCCGCACCGGGAGCTGGCCCGCGAGTGCGCCGCGCACCAGCTGCCCGACGGCCCGGGAGCAGGGGCTGGCCCGCCCCCGCGGTCGGAGCTGCTGGAGCGGCTGCTGGCCTGCGCCCGGGGCGGCGGCAGGGTGCGCGCGCGGGGCATCCCCGAAGAGCTGCTGGGGGGGCCAGAGGCTGCCGAGGCCGTGCTGCGCGACGTGGACCACTGGCAGTGCATGTGCGCGCGGCACCTCGAGGCGGAGCTGCGGCGCCGCGGGCTGCCCGTGGGCTCGTCGTGCGGGGACAGCCAGGCGCTGGTCGACCGCCTCCGCGACGTCGCGGTCTGGGAGAAGCTGCCGCTCAGGCAGCTGTGCCAGCAGTGCGAGGAGGCCGGCGTCCCGCCCCCGCGCGGCGCGACGCTCGAGGAGCGCGCGCCGTGCATCAGGGGACTGCTGGAGCGCCGCGACCTGCTGGAGCGCTGCAGGCTCCACGGGGTTCCAGCCTCGCGCCTGAGGAGCGCCGAGGAGGCCGCCGCGCTCTGCGCGCAGTACGAGGAGATCGAGCAGATGAGCCTCGGGCACCTGGCCCAGTGGTACGCGCGCGACCTGGGGCTGCCCCCCGAGCAGGGCATGACCAGGGAGGAGCTGGCAGGCCTCCGCAGGAGGCACGCCCTGTGGCTGGCCCTGCCGCTGCCGGAGCTGCGGCAGGAGTGCCTGCGGGGCGGCGGGGCCGCCGCCGTCGGCGCGGACGAGGAGGCCAAGAGGGAGGGCCTGCTGGGCGTGCTGGCCGGCTACCTGCAGAGGGAGGGGGGCGACCGCAGGGCCGTGCTCGGTGCGGTGAGGCAGTGGCGCGGAGCGCCCCTGGCCAGCCTGGAGGCGGAGGTCGACCGGGTGGAGGCCGCCCTGCAGCCAGGCGGCCCCGAGGGCGACGGGCGGTTGCGCGCCGGGCAGGTGGAGGCGCTGCTGGAACGAGACCGCGCCGAGGCCTGGCAGGCGGCGGGCTTCGAGGCGGCCCACATGAGCTTCGCCGCGGCGAGGGAGCTGGTGGGCACCTTCGAGCAGCTGCGGAGGAGCACGGACGCCGAGGTGGCAGAGGAGTTCGAGGGGCTCCTGTCCCACCACCCGAGCGTGCTGGAGCTGTCCAGGGAGGGCGGCGGCAGGGGCAGGGATTGGCTCCTCGGGGTGATCCGGCGCGTGCTGGTCTGGGATGCCCTGCCCGTGGCCAAGCTGGAGGAGCTCGCGCTGCGGGGCAGCCCCTCGATCGTGCCGGCGCCGGACGCCGCCGACGCGGAGGAGAGGAAGATCAGCCTCGTGGACCAGCTGATCGTGGACCTGCTCCGCGACGCCTACGAGGCGCGCGGGGTGCCGGTGGGGGACCTCGGCACCCTGGAGGCCTCGAGGGTCGTGGACGTCGTCCACGACATCGGGGCGCAGGACGACGAAGAGCTGCGGGCGATGTACCAGGAGCTCGGGTTCCCCGAGGAGGAGCACCTCGAGAGGGGCTTCCTCGTTCAGCTGCTGAGGGATGTCGCGATCTGGCAGTCGCTGCCGATTGAGCACCTCCAGCGGAGGGTCCGGCAGCTGCCCTGGGGCGCGCCAGAGAGGGCGCTGCTGTCTCCGCCCGAGGCCAGCTCGGCCGGGGAGGAGCTCGGCGAGCCCAGCGACCTCGCGGGCCTGCGCGACGCAGGGGTGCGGGCGTTGGCCGAGCACGCGGTGATGGAGCTCTAGGCACAACAAATAACCATAGCCACAGCAAAGTGGATTTTTTACCAGGGCCCCTCGTGGGAGAGCCCACCGACCCTGACAGGAACACTCTTGTGATCGACGTGGCCGTCCTGGGACGCCACGTCGACCACAACCAGCACTGAGCTGGCTTCAGTGTTCCAACGATTGTCGGCATGCGCAAGCCCCCCCCCAGGCCCCCAGGGCGTGTCCTCGATTCGAGGGCCAAACCTGCCTGCTTCTAGAAGACCAGCCTCTGGGGCCGATGCCAAATACCGCTCCCACGTCCTAGCCACAAGCGTCTATGGACACATTGGGCGCCGTGACGTCCATATACCCTTGCGGGGTGGATGCGTCTATGGACAACGTGGCCGTTGCGTTCGGCGCGGTGCAAGGTCGGAGAAAGGGTAGATCCGTCTACGGTATGTTCCTGTTCTGGAGCAGGTCCCACATACTACTCCAAGTCCTCGATGTGGTTCTGGTCGCTTGCTGTCCCCGCAGGAGCGGTGGCAGCGGCGGGGCTTCGAGGCGGAGCGCGTGCGCGACTTCTCCGCCGTGGCCGACAGCGTCCAGCGGCGCGAGCGCTGGGGCCGGCTGTCGGAGGAGGAGCTGCGCCGAGAGTTTCTGGCCTGCAACCTCCCAGAGTCGGAGGCTCATGTGCTTCCAAACGGGACCTCAAGGAAAGTTACTTTTGAGACTGGCGATGTCGATGTCGAGTCCGTCGGCTTCGCGAGCCTTGGAGGCAACGCGGAGGAGGATGAAGAGCAAGACTCGGCAGAGGGGAACGAGGATGATGATGATGAGGAGGAGGAGGCGGAGGAGGAGGAGGAGGAGGAGGAGGAAGAGGAGGAGGAGGAGGAAGAGGAGAAGGAGGAGGAGGAGAAGAGGAGGAGGAGGAGGAGGAGGAGGAGGAGGAGGAGGAGGAGGGAGGAGGAGGAGGAGGAGGAGGAGGAGGAGGTGGAGGTCTTGAATGCAACGCCGGGGTCTCAGAAGTCCCTTTCGCTGGCGTGCACGTAGGAAACGCATCCGAGGCGCGTGGAAGGGAGCACATGCTGCAGTCGCTCGAGAAGCTGCTCGTCTGGGAGATGCTGCCCCTGCCAGAGCTCGAGCGGCACTGTGCCGGGCTGCGCCCGCCCATCGTGCCCAGCAGCGGGCGGAGCGGCGAGTCGCTGAGGCGCTCCGAGCTGATCCACCAGCTGATCGTCCACACGTTCACCCACGTCTTCGAGCAGCGGGGCATCCCCCAGGGGCAACGTCAGAGGAGGGGACAGGCTCACCGGGGGGAAGCCTCGGCCTGGAATCGGCGATGCGTCGCCGATGGATCGGCGGCGGGCCCCCGATCGCGAGCCCGCACGTTCGTGGCCGAGGCGGCTACGTGGCCCCGTCGGCGATGACTGGGCGATTGTGGGTCGAGGCGTTCCCTCCCGAGCCTGTCCCCTCGTAACGTTGCCCCTCAGTCCCGGTGAAGCGTATCGGCACCTTGAAGGCCGCAATAATGGATTCGCAGCTGCGGGCCTACCAGGCCATGAAGCCAGACGAGCTCAGGGCCCAGTGCGAGACCATGGGGATATCCTCCCCCCAAAACGCGACGAAGGATGAGCTGCTTGCGCAGCTGGAGGAGGCGTGCCTGTGGTGCATGCTACCGGCGCGCGACCTCTGGGCAGAGTGCGTCGCTCGCGGGCTGGCGAATGACGCGAAGGAGCCCATGGTGTCCGTCTTCCTCGCGCAGGTCCAGAGGGCCTTCGACCAGCAGCGCGCGGCGCTGAGTCCGTCGAGCGGGGAGCCGGGCGCAGAAGCTGGCATGCGACAGCCCACGCTGGACGACGGCGCGTGCTTCTACATTAGGGGGCCACATGCGAACCCTACCCCTACCCCCCACGATTTGTGAGGGGGAGGGTGGGGTTCACTTTGCTCGGGAGCTCCCGAACGAAGTGAACCCCACCCTCCCCCTCAGAAATCATGGGGGGGTAGGGGTAGGGTTCGCATGTGGCCCCCTATACATCAATCTGGAGCGGCGGGAGGACCGCCGGCACAGGATGGAGTCGCTCGCCAGGCCCCACCGCTGGCTCAGCTCCTGCCTCGAGCGGGTCGTAGCCGTGGACGGGCAGGAGCTCGAGTGGCAGCAGCTGGTGGCCGACGCGCTGTTCACGCGCGAGGCGTGGGGGAACTCAGAGCGGGGCGGGGCCACCATAGGCGCCACGCCGGATGAGTGCTCCACGCACCTGACCCTTGGAGGCTGCGGCTGCGCCCTGTCGCACAGGAAAGCCTGGGAGGCCCTCGTGCGCAGCGAGCGCTCCTGGGCGCTGGTCATGGAGGACGACCTGACCGGCCTGTGCGCCGACTTCGACGGGCAGCTGGACCGGCTGCTGGCGCTGCTGCCCGCGTCCTGGGGCTTCTGCTACCTCGGCCACCACACGGGGGAGCTGCTGCCCGCGGGCGGCTGCCTGGTGGACGCGCCGCCGAGGC